AATTATTCTATCTTCTATCTTCTTATATCTATTCTTTATTATTTTCTAATTACAGATATAACTCTTTCTAATAACAAATATAATTTCCATTTTTTTAAATATAACAAACATTGTATGTCAATGTTATTAATATAATGCTTACAACTGTAAGCGCTAAAGCGAACGTAGCCTATATCGTAAAGCGCAATCGTTTCAATGGTCAGAAATCGAGCAGACTAGTGTGAGAATAAAGAGTGAAAGAGTCAGGACTAGATTTGCTAGCCTCGTCTATTACCCGACGGCGGCCGAACTTCCGAACTCTCACAGACATGCTTTCTCCTTGTGTGCAGCATCCCCACTCCCTGACTCTCTCATGACTCTCGTCTTGAATTTAGCATCACTGGTCTTGATCATACCGTGGCGGAATCGTGCGCTCGGCGCTCGGCAACGTTGGCCGAAGAGAACAAAAACATCATCTTACTCTGTCGTATCGAAGCATCGTGAATAGAGAATAGGAATATCGTTGTACTCTCTCGCACTCACGACGCGTATGAGAAGAAAATAGAAATATTATCGTACTCTTTCGCATAGTATGTGCCATGATCCAGCCTTTTGATTATCGTTCACTATTGCTAATGTAGTATAGCGAATGAATTGAAAAGAATAAACAGACATTAATACTGCATGAAGAGAAACGAAAATCATTATAATCGTATATAATTTTATGTATAAAAATTATAATTCTGTAATATAATAAGAATGTGTATGAAATTATTTTTTCAGTATAAATGTATAATATATGTTTCGAAAATCTTTAAGAAATTCACAGTTTTGTGTAATTACTTATAAATTCAACAAGACATTTATTATGATAAATAAAATAATCAAATTATATTATTTCTTCTTTCTCTCTCCTTTTTATTTGATATAAGCAAAAATATGCGTAACTTCTTGAATTTGTAATTAATTATCTGAAATATAGTAAATATAGTAAATTTTTCATTTCTAAGAGTCGGAATATATACAATAAGATTGTAATAAGAAAATAATTTCGTACTTATTCTCACTCATTTATTAGACTCATTAGTTATTATAATTTTATAAAATTATATAACAGGTCATTATGAGTATGACAAATAAACCATACGACTACAACAATTTTCGAATATTTTCATACATTATTTTCATATCTGCTTACCCTTTTTAATTCATACTGCATAAATCAATAATAAGCGGTGAGGTATCGTCGGAGACGCTCGACGACCGCACGGTGCATGGAGCACGAAAGAGTACAACGATAATATTTTTATTTCCTTCTTATATGCATCGAGAGCGCGAGAGAGTATAACGATATTCCTATTCTTTACTCACAGCGATACGAGAGAATAGGATAATATTTCTATTCTCTTCTGCCAATCTAATGTTGCTGGGCGCCTTCCTTCCTATTAATTTTTCAGGAAAAACGTTGTTTAAAAAATTCCGCACTTGCCAAAATGTGGAGGGGCACCGTCCTGCTGAAACCAAACTGAATCAAACTCTGGATTGAAAATGTTGCGAAGAGTTAGTACAATATCATCTTGGCATAGTCTCATACTTTTGTGCTGTTAGATTTCCATCAATGAAGAATGGTCCTATTATGTGCTGTCCAACTATTCCCGCCCAAACTTAGTTTTTAGATATTGACTTTTGGATTCTCTCATCCAATGCGGATTAGAATCACTCCAGTATCGACTGTTGTGTCTATTCATTGAACCGTCTAACATAAACGTAGCCTCGTCTGAAAAAAACAATCTTGTTTTGAAATTCCGATTGATCATCAATTTTCTGCATCATTACGTCATAAAATTCGAGTCGGCAATCAAAATCATGTGCGACTAATTCCTGGACAAGATTTATTTTGTATGGATGAAATTTGGAATTTTTGAGAACTCGCTGATCGGAATTATGGCTACAGTCATGAGCTTGGGCAGCTTTTCGAATAGAGGTATGGGGATCTTCCACGAATGATTGTAATATCTCTATCGAGGTATCTTCATTCGTAGCGATCGGTCTACCCGATCTTTGCCGATCCTTAACGCATCCTGTATCTTGAAAATGATTACATGTTTTCTATACAGTAACTGCAGAGATCTCTTGCCGACCTTGCCGAAACTCAACATTAAATAAATCTCGGACTTCTCGAAATGACCGCGGTCACCGTATCCTCGCATCATCAAAATACATTCTTTTTCTGTAACCGCCATTTCGGTGCAATCAGTTAGCCTATCCGACGCTCGTTTGATTACAGGTTATCAACGACCGTGTACAATTACTGAGTATCACAGTGGGGGAGTAATTTTCCGTCACAGTGTTTGAAACCTATCATACAATTTATTTCACAGAAAGATATTGGAGTGATTCTAATCCGCATTGGATGAGAGAATCCAAAAGTCAATATCCACAAAAACTAAATGTTTGGGCGGGAATAGTGGACAGCACATAATAGGATTCTTCATTGATAGAATCTTGGCTAACAGCACAAAAGTATGAGACTATGTTCCGAGACGATATTGTACCAACTCTTCGCAACATTTTTGATCCAGGGTTTGATTTAGTTTTGTTTCAACGGTGCCTCTCCACATTTTGGATTACAAGTGCGGAATTTTTTCTGAAAAATGGATAGGAAGGAGGAGCATAATCAAATGGCCATCCAGGTCACTTGACTTGTCTCCCCTGGACTTTTCTTTCTGGAGTTATTTAAAAGACCGAGTGTACAGAATTAAACCTCAAAATATCAATGACTTGCGACTACGAATTATTGACGAAGTGGTATTAATTACTTCCGAAATATTACAAAATGTTCAAACTAGTTTTTACAATCGTTTGGCCCACTGTCAAACTGTAGAAGGTCGACAGTTTGCACACTTATTGTATGCACCCACTCACCGACCATACACGCACGCACGCACGACGCACGCACGCACGCACGCACGCACGCACGTGAAACGGAGAAGGTTTGGAGTCACAAAATACTGGGAAAGTGACGAACCCCAGAATCCTGATCTCCGTTACGCGCGTGCGCGTAACATAACAACACACACACACACACACACACACACACACACACACACATGCGCGCGTACGAACACATAAATACGCGAAGTAATAACCATTATGTCCTCGCCGTAGACTCTGGGTAACGCAAAGAACGATAACACAAGAAACATGGAATATAAATTTTTGTTTACATAATCATAACTTTCGATTGAAGGGTTGTAGCGAACTTTCTCAAAAACCATTGTTTTTGTCTTTAAAAAATCTTTCAAATGAGCTCCTAGTCGACCCCTCATGCCATTTAAGATTTTTAAGTCACTCCCGTCTCTTTGCCCTAAGGGAGTGGGAAGTGAATGTCATCCTGATCAAAAGATAGTTTTCATGATCCTATCAAGTTCCACCAAATTTCAACTCT